GTGAGGATACCAGGGAGAGAGAACAGGTGGAGAAGTTCAAGCTCTTGGATTGTATCCCAATGGAGAGAAGTTTTCTGCTTATGATAATTTTTTTTTCTTTTTGCAAGAACATTTATTTTTCAATCTTAAGATCTCTTCCTGTTGGCTTTTTTTTTTTTTTTTTTGCTTCCTCACCAGATACTGCTTTTCTTACCACCTTATCTTTTTACTTTTAAGTAGTATCCTAAATACCAAAACATAAACAGATGTCATTTCTACAGATCTTTAGTGTTATTACAAGTGCACGTACAGTTTACCCATCTGAGTGGATTACTTCTGAAAATCACAGTGATATTGCCATATCTTTGTTGCATGGAAAACATTTACATTTGGAACTACAAATAAATTCAGTTCTGCCATAATCTCAAAGCCACAGATACATATTGCTATTATCACCCGTTTATATAGAACCAAACTGGCATTTAGGCAGCAGATTGCAATTCAATCAGCTATTTCTTTACACACTGGTGCACCCCAGCACAGTTGCTTGTGGTACATATATAGAACTCTGTGGAATACCATTTCTCACTTTCAGTATTTGAGAGTTATAATTTACAGATGCTTCATCAAACACACACATCTATTTTCTGAATCTGACTCCAAGACTACAGAGCACAGAAGCATACTAAATACTGTGAATTTGGCATTCATGTAAAGTTGGAAATCAGCTTATTCACATTTGCATCTCAAGAGATTCCATGTTCAAAACTAAAGTACATTCAGGAGAATAACAGTTGTTAATAATAGTAATGAAAAGAGCCATAATAGATAAATTATAACAACAGTTACATCTTTAACAGGCATTGCTGTTGCCATGGCACAAGTTCCTAATGCAAAATAAAAATCCACTAGAAATTTATTCTATAGCTATGGTAACAACTGTATTGTGACACCTACACTGTTAATCTAGTCAAGTTCTGTTTTCATTTGATCCAGAAAGATGTTTTTAGCAGCACGCTCTGCACATGTGTAATATCTGCCCAAAAATGTATTCTCAACTCCCTTTTCCACACACTCAGTTGATTGATAAAACTAACAGTCACAGCTAAGTAATATTTGGAGAGTCATAGAAGGATGGTAAGCAAAGAAGTCATCTTATCTGCATGGTAAAGATGCTTTGGACACACTAGAATACCTTCAGTAGTGATGATATTGGTTGTATTGCCAAAGCAATATCATAAAATGGGATGATCAGCAAGAAAAGGTGTAAGACAGAAAATACATAGTATTTAAAAACTGAAGTCGCAATATTCAGGAAGGCATTATTTCACACAGCAAACAACATGGTGC